CTCTCTCTCTCTCTCTCTCTCTCTCTCTCTCTCTCTTTCTCTCTCTTTCTCTCTCTTCCGCCCTTTTTCCGTCTCCACCTGGTCAACGACCGTGAAAAAATTCACGTGTTCGCTGGGACGCGGCAGAACGCGGCTCGAAATTGCCGATTGTGCCGGGGAAAGAAAGGATTTGCAATTGTTTACGAGCCCGGTAACACGGCGCGCGTGAATGGCTCGACGAAAACACGAAGACGAGCAACGCGGCTCCCTGAATCGCCGTCACGGCAACGTTGAACCAAAAATAGGCATGGAATCACTTCGGCTCCCGAATCTCGGAGGATGCCGCTCCGTCGAGGAACACGAAACGAGAAAAAACAAATTTGCTTTATTAGATTGTAAGCATGATTTACAGGGACGCGAGAGTCATCGAGATTTCTCGTAGTCTTCTCGTGTCTCGCCTGATCTTGTTTCCACGGGAATTAATTGGGGAACTCTGGGAAATATTGCACGTGCTTTTGGGTAATTCGGAATTCATGATGATAATGATAACGAATGTTCTTTACTTTTATTTGATAATTATTTATATTATATATATTATTTTGTACTGGTAATTATTTCCATTTCATTCTTTAAATCGACGATTCAGTTTATTATCTTTAAACTGATTCCGATGGAATATAAATGAATCGTTCGTTTGAAATATTATTTGAACGTACACTCGAATTTTTTAGGAGACGTGGAACGTGCTCGAAGCAGCCAAATAAAATGTTTTATGGGTGAAACGATACAGGGATTTATCATTGGAATTACGTAAGTTTAATTGAATTGGGAAATAATCTAGATAAATTTCATCACGTTCAAACTTCGTCTAATTTGTTCTTGATATAATTGGAATTATGAGTATGGAATAATTCTATTTGCTATGTAACGTTGGAATTTATTTTGCATTGTATTTATCAACGTTGATAAGAAATGTGCACCGTGCATGATTCTTTGTAAAACAATTATGTACATTTTCCGACTACAATTTTCGGATATACGGTTTTATCATACGTCGGCCCTGAAGATCACGATAATGAAATGTCGGCTTTTAGAGCACTCTGCCGCTAGATCTACGAGGAAGTGGTCGACCGCAGTAACACGATTGACCGTGGTGTACCTGAATTTTTAGATAGTTCTTGGCCATCGTATTTTTCATCGCCACAATGGACACCGATGTCGAATCTTGTTTAAAAGATTGGAACGACCTGGCACAAGATTACAAGGAGTTGGAAGTAAGATTATTTCTCGTTAATCAAGAATATTAATTGAGGTGTCGACGCTTCAACGTGATCGGATCGTTTCGTTCGAGGTTAAGGGTTCCCTATTGTTTATCCATAGTAAATACCTGAAACCGGTATCCCATTGTTTATAAATCGGCATTGAAACTGAATATTGCTTCGGTCGAAAACTCTGCTTGTGTCTTACAATATGGCATTTGCATTACGTTGCTCGAGTACCTTTGCCCTTAATGGCTGAGAAGTAATAATTGTAACTGTAGTAAAGGAAACAATGGTATTTTACCTGTTTAGTAAGTTCGTTGAAAAACGTGAAAAAAAGATTAGAATGTTACTCAAGATTGTAATATGTACAGTCCTGTTTTTGGATTTCCAACTTTTCTAGAATTAACTGTGTAACATACCTGTGCTTGTAAATGGTTTAATAACACAAATATTCTTATATTTCTGATAGGCATTAAATAGAGAATATCTTGCGAAATTAGAAGAAGTGAGCGAATTGCAAGCGAAATGCTTAAAAGGTATTTCTCATCAGAGGTACAGAATGGGTGTAATACAAAAATCATTGAAGCAGTAAGTAAACAATTATGAAATTTTATCGAAACTGTTTTTTCAATTTATAAGAAAAATCATGTAACTTGTCAGATTACACGCAAGCGAAGCTGGAAAAAGCTTGGACAAGGATATGACTAAAAGAAAGCAGCAGTTACATGAAATAGAACAAACTTTACCTAAACCAAATGGCACGTACCTCCAGATTATTTTAGGCAGCGTTAATGTCTCCATACTAAATAAAAGTGATAAGTAAGTATAACTGTAACTCCTACATAAGAAAAATTCTTGCATACAATTTATATATATTAAAGAATGTATGATTTAATTTTATTCTGATATTTTCAGATTCAAGTATAAAGATGAATATGAAAAATTTAAATTAGTCCTTTCTGTAATTGGTTTTATTTTATCTGTAATAAATCTAGTAACTAATGTCAGGTAAACCATCACTTATGTTGTATTAAACCTTAACAAAACCATTGTATTCATAGTAATTAATATTCTACACCAATGTCTGTTTCAGAACTTTGGAACTTAGTTTTATGTTCCTTTTAGTCTGGTATTATTGCACACTGACAATAAGAGAAAGTATATTAAAAGTAAATGGTTCAAGAATTAAAGGTTGGTGGAGATTTCACCATTTTCTTTCAACTGTAGTTTCTGGTGTCTTATTAGTATGGCCTAACACAGGACCATGGTATGCGTTTAGACATCAATTTATGTGGTTCAACGTATACATTAGTAAGCAATTTCTCTTCAGTAATCTTCTAATAATTTAAATGTTATGTAATAACGTATAAAAATTTCAACTATTATAATTTTATCATTCAGGTTTCGTGCAATATTTGCAATTCTGCTATCAACGCGGTGTTTTATATCGCTTGAAAGCGTTAGGCGAGAGACATAACATGGACATCACTATAGAAGGTTTTCACTCATGGATGTGGCGTGGATTGTCTTTTTTACTGCCATTCCTTTTTATTGGATACCTATTTCAATTATATAACGCGTACACATTATATACATTAACGTCTCACCCAGAAGCTACATGGCACGTTCCAGTTCTCAGTGCTATGTTCTTGGTACTTTTCCTTGGTAATATAATAACAACTATCATGGTGATCCCTCAAAAGTTAAGAGAACGCGTGAAAGATCATCTGCCCGGAGTGTTTACATCTAAACCTGAGAAGAAAAGGGAGGTGAACGGAGAAGAGGATATTAAGGATCAAAAGTTTGAATAGAAGGACAATAGTGTACATTGAATATATCGGTTGATAAGAGGAGAAGGAAGAACAGATAATATAGAATGAGCGAATCCGCAAAATACAAAGTTAAAGGTAGTCTGAGAAATCAAGTAGCTATTTGTATTAGTTCCGTACGAAGAAATGCACAGAATACCAAAAACTAGATGAAATGTCTTACAGTTTGCAAGATTCTTTCCTACAACGTACATCTTTTTACAACTGTTGCTAGACACAAGACCAAGTGTTTTAGCCTGTTGTATCATAAGAATCGGACCCACAAAAGTATTCCTTTTGTATACCCTTTCATACCTCGAGGAACTTTTCAACTTTCTGGCTGTACTGCCCTAAAGTTTTATTTTTGTAAAAACTTTCGAGATATGCAAAAATGAATGTGCATTTACTACATTTTGTTTCAAAAATTCCATGGTACGAGATATAAATCTAACTTAGCCATACTGCAAAATATTAGTATATTAATATATTTCATTTTGGAAACAATGTATCATACGTTCTTACTTTTTTTTAAAGTTTTTCATATCAGTTTCATATCATGTTTTCGTACTTTCATGTGATTTGACAGCATATTTTTGAAATTAATGATCTTATTATTTATACTTAGATAAATTAACAAAAAAAAAGTATACAGCTTGAAAAAATTAGATGTTGCATACTTGAATTTTCACAAGTGAAATTGGATCTATGCTATTATATGTTACGGTTTTATCATTCAAATGCTTTGGATATATGTATCTACTTCATAATTTAATTAGAATAACATGTATTAACGCACACGTTTGTATACCACTGCTCACTCTTCTGCTAAAATAGTAATTTATAAGTCGTGCATAACTGTCTCCAAAAAAAATGTATGTAATATAAAAATTATTTGTTCTTATTGTATTTATTAAATTATATGTGTAAATAAAAATGGTATCACTCTCCATATATTCGATGCGTACAATCTTTTTTGTCTGATTCAGGTGTGGTGATGCGTTATAAATAATTTTAAACAGTTTTCGCGGTATCTGTACCATTGTGAGCTAGCTTCGACGACCGATAAAATATCGAATTAATTGCACACGTATAAATTGCATCAGCCGTTATTGCGAATGCGCATAACAAGTACGGTGAAAAAACACTTATCCTTTATACTAGTTACACTACTGAGGTAACTACGTCATAATGTAAGCAGCACTCACGAGTGCATACTGTCTGCTATCAGCACTCGATAAACATATCACCACGAAGGTAGAACGGTTCGCGTTTGCAAATAAAATGCCTGTAATGTGTAGAATGTCTTGGCCGCTTGTGGTAGGTGTCATTCATCCAAATATTGGAGGATGGGCTGGTGCTTATTTTACTAAAAAAAGTATGCAATCTTGGTATCAGGTAATTAAATCGATTTGTTTTTCAAACCACTCGAATTCAATGTTGTTGCTCGAATTTAGTAGATAAACGTACTGTGATTTCTAATTTAAAAAAAACGAATTAAAAAACTGTATAGATCAATGTCTTTATTCTTCCTTGGAGGATTTCTATATCTCTGAAAGAACAGTCACGTTCAATTAAAACACTGAGTCATAAGATACGCGATACGCGAGTACTTAAACAATGCTCGAACTAGTTGATCGGTTTACCGTTAATATCAGAAACATTTGAACATTTTTCTTTAAATAATAAACATTCTTAAACGACGATTACTCTCTATTATTGTCAACCGATAAATGCTATTTATTTCTACTTATAAGGGAAGCCTTTACTGCATCTGATAAAATTCGCAAGAAATCGATACACAATGATAAGATGATTATGCTACTTGCTAGATTACGAAATGACATAATTATCCGATAGTTACATCTTGTACGATTCGTACAATTGTAAAATTAATTTAGATAACACGAAATAATAATGTATCTTTTTAATGCCGAGTAAGACCTTGAACAAACCATGTTGGACTCCACCAAACTGGATGTTTGGACCAGTATGGACAACCCTGTATTGTACAATGGGTTATTCGTCGTATTTAGTATGGAGAGACGGCGGTGGTTTTGAAAGGGCAGCTTTGCCGCTTTCTATTTATGGAACTAATTTGTTATTAAATTGGGCTTGGACTCCTATATTCTTTGGATTACAAAACGTGAAATGGGTATGTCCGAAACAACAACTGTGTACTCTCTCCTAATTCGACCTTAATTCTAATTACTTACACCTCTCGAACTTTTAGGCTTTGTATGACATTATAGTATTGTGGGGAAGCACTTTAGCCGTGGGTGTTTCGTTCTACCAAGTGAACAAACTCGCCGGCTGTTTGATAATTCCTTATTTCGCCTGGACGTCTCTCGCTACAGCGTTGAACTGTGTGATTTACAGAGACAATAAACCAAGTGTAGAAGCTGTTACAGATGGAAAGAAGAAGTAATGTCGAGCAACGGATCTGTAGCACGAAACAGCACTGTATAGTGACACTTGTTGTTGAAAACTATTGTCCGTACCTTTTCTGTTCTTTTTTTCTTTATAATTACTGTATCAACGTTATTGAATAAGATAATGTGCCTCGCATTGAACGCACAATGCTGTTAGTATACACATTTTTATTATTTGATATGAAATAAAGGTTAGTTAATCAACCATACGTACATTACAATATGTATTTATATATATATGTATATATATATATCATATATCTTATAATATATATATTATACACGCACTATATAATATATATATTACATATATAATTATAATTCATTATCCGCGTCATTAATAAAATCATATAAAGAAAAACTGTTAAGAATCATTTTTTGGTACTCTTCCATGGGGTAATCTACCCTATTCTGCTTAGATACCTAACAAACTTCACTATATTACGCTTAAATCTTAATTTTGCTTTTTTTCTTTCTACAATGTCTCATCTTTGTAGTATGATCAATGAATTAACATCTTTTATACAGAATAGGGCAGAATATCTTACACAAGAGAGGTATCGAATACGGTACGGGTTTGGGCGGGTCGCTGCTTCCTGCTGCCGTATTTCATAAGCGCTATGTTGGATCCGTTGCGTAAATGTAACCTTGCTTTTGAAGTACGTACAAGCGTTTCTCAACGGCGTCTTTGTCTGGAACGAAAGAAATCATTCTTCTTTTAAACACTTATAACACGGATTTGAGGTATCGGTACAAGCGTAAAACAACAATAAATTACATTTAATAAGTAGAGCTCTATCTTGACTATGACTGACATGTTGTGATAAAGAATGTAGCAATATCTGTGCTGTATGATACCGCTGGAAACACTCCGCGGGATTGCCAAACAATTCGTCCAATGCCGCCGACTGACACTGTCACAGAAATGCAGAGATAAATATTCGTACTTGTCCACGCAATTTTCAATCGATTAATATTATTACTTACCATCTGTATGGCATGATTATAAAGAATTTTATCCGCTGTAGCTCCCGTTTGATGAAGAAGTCCAGCACTGTTCAGCTGTTTACATTCTGCGAGGCACGATCTAAACTTTTCGTTCATTGTATTCACCACTGCAACACATTCGAATTTTAATATAGAATCTATAGTACACAACTGATCGTAGGTAAGATTATAACGTGAAGTTTTACCGTCTTTAACGCTGGTGGTCGGTTGTAATCTGCCAGCCTTCAGTTGCTGCGTCGCAAGGCTCAATCCGGAACTGAGCCATTGGAGCGCTCTGACGAGCAGGATTACTTGCTCGGCTCTTCTCCTCGTCGCCGCGTTACTCGCTTGCTCGATACCGCCCAGAGGCGCGCCCAAGGGACCCGCTCTTGTCCTCGCCACCTCACACACGCATTCGCATAAAGCAACAACAAAGTTTAACTTCGCTAATATTTCGTTGTGTTCTCGTTCTAACAGTGTTTCCTCCGGGAGTTCGGGCGCGATGAACGTTAGCGGGCGATCATCTTTCGCCGTGGGATTTATTTCTGGTAACAGGTTCTGGAAACTGCCTGCCTCTGAATGTTCAACGAAGAATCGATTATTCCTGTGTCAATAGAAATCTGTATTGCGAAAGTGATGAAAATTACGTACCAGATATCTCGGGAAGAGTGACAGCCCTTGTACCAAACGGAATAACAGGTGAATGCCTCAACGTGTTGTTGTTGTCCTGAAACGCTCTGGACGTAGGAGAACCTAGCACTGCCAACGGCCCCGTTAATAACGGCGAAGATGCGCTATTGTTTCCAGTTGAACGCCTCAACGGCGACGTTCCACTGGAAGTGTGCGAGTGTCTCGCAACTGGACTAACTTGCCATGTGTTTGGAGGCGGGGGTGTCTCGCTTAACCTAGAAATAATCACATTCAGATGGTGCTCCGTTTAAGATCAGTGAAGTACTCTTTAGGAATATTCGCATACCTTCTGCTCGGTGGTGTACCAATCACAAATTGAACACTGGGCGGACTAAGGGAGCCAATGTCGGGAGCATGACTCCTATGCGAATCCACGCTACGTTTCATACTGATTGGTTGAGAACGTGGGACAACACTGCTTCCGGATCTTACGTTGGTAGACGGGGATGATGGTTGTACTATACTTCTTTGAGAAGGTACAGGAATTGGTTCCGAAATAGGTAAGAAGCAAGGCCTCGGTGGACTCACTGCTTCTCTGCTGGTTTGTTTGATATATCTGCTAAACCAATAATGGAATGATGTCGACAATGCAATCTTAGAAATTTCACGGTCAGTGAAAATGAATTACATACTTAACTTGTTGGGTATTGGGATTATTGTCTGTGTCACTGCTGAGATCACTTGGCACAATTACGAAGTCATCTTCAGGACTGGAACACGGACTTGTCGTTTCTGGTTCTGATCTTATAACAGCCGCAGGTCCTTCCGGGATCGCTAGTGTTCCTGGTGAAGCTGGAAGTTCTGCTGGAACTGGACTTGGATTTTCTCTGGTACCTTGGAGAAAAGGATGTCCGAAAAATTCGTCAAAAGGCATACGATCCCTGGCGTTACGCCTTAGAAGACCCATTAGAAGGTCTGACAATTCGGGCGAGGTTCCAGGTGGAATCCTAAAATGACAATTTAATTTAAATTCTACGCTTCTTGTTAATTAAACAGACAGCATAAGCTTTTTCCATATATAAAAATGTAGTGTATGTATTACAACATACTTGGGTCCAAGGTTGGCATTCTTTTCGTAGAACAATTTTAAAGCTTGAGGTGTATGAGCTTGAAATGGCGCTTTTCCAGTTAGACACTGAAAGACAATTGTTCCTAAAGACCAAAGATCCGCTTTCGCATCATACTGAAGCGACATTATCACTTCTGGTGCCATGTACATTGGTGAGCCGCATAATGTTGCAGCCATTACACCATCCTGTAAAAACCTAGCGAAACCAAAATCCGCTGCAACATAAAAAAATATATTTTAAATAACTATAATGTCTGTAAGTTGAATGTAAATGAATGCAATTATTTCTTACCGATCTTTAAAGTGATTTGATGTGGTTGTGGACATGCTTTACCACAATTATGACTGAGCAAAATGTTCTGTGGCTTAAGATCCCTGTGGACTACACCTTTGGCATGAAGTGCTTTCATTGCACCTGCTAATTGCTTTAGAAACACTCTAATAGTATCTTCGGAAAGGGTGCCTTTCGCTAATATAAATATAATAAATTTTAAATAAAATGAACATAGATAAACTTTGGTGTTATTGTGTTTGAATAATTCAATAACAAATTTGTCCTGGCTACACATACCACTTAAATAATCAGCTAAATCTCCACCATTACAATATTCCATAACCAGGAAGACATTATGATTAGACTCCTAATAATAAATGTGTGATTACATTAGAGCACAAACATCATTATATAATCTTTCCAAATAAATAAAAAATTTTACTGACTGCTCGATAAAATATATATATATAACACTAACCTTACAGTCCAACAATGCAACAACATTTTCATGATGCAATTCTGTTAATTCCTGTAATGTAACGTATTAGTCAACAACAAAACAATGAATTCTTATTAAAAGAGCATAATTTAAATCTCAAAGATTTTTACATAGTTAATTTATGGATGATGAAATAAGAATTACGCTCGATCGACAGATTCTTTTAGTAGCCACACATCAATTCGAACTTATCAGCAAGTTAATCGGAAGCAACTTGTTTATCGCATAATTTGAATAAAAACAATGTATCTAGTGGAAGCCTGGATTCATTCGTACTTGAAATTAAGAATGAGAAGTGAAATTTAAAACCGTAACATGCTTGAAGAGATTGGATACTGCGTCAATGTACCTTCAGAATCTTGATCTCCTTTCCTAGTAGATTCTGTGACTTTGCTAAACTCTTTTTGGTGATACTTTTGATTGCCACTACGAAATTTGGTTTCTACAGAAATAAAGGACACATTATTGCTGCGATCGGCCGACGCGAGATATTTTTTTGAAAATTTATTATCGGTGATCGTTCGTCGTGATCGAAACGGATTGAGAGGACTCACTTTACGATGTCTACCTCTGAAGACTACAGCGAATGCGCCGTGGCCTATCAGATCTTTTGTGTTGTACTCGTAGTCGCCGACGATTTCCATTCTTGATCTTGATGACTCGGCGATCGAGGATGTTTCACCGATCTTCGGCAAGGGAGGTCAATAGTTTACAAACATAGAAGGATTGGTAAGGGAGATGCATCGCCTGCGGAAAGATCGATACGCGTTATAAGAAAAGTCGCGGCCCGTATGATGTGCTTTCTCATGTGGTGCCTTTTCCTCTTTGTCGATGCCTTCGGTGGAAAAGACTGTAACGGCCTACATCTTGTGCGTCCTCGTTAATTCACATTAATCATCAACCCGTATCACTACACCAACAACAGAGTATACTTGAAAATACAAAACACGATGGAGCATCCACTGTGTCGTACAATCGCTGTCGCAAAATGTCAGACGATCGCAGATAGAGGTCGCGTTAACATCAACAGGCACGTGACCACGGCAGCCGAGCCCCGTAACATAAAATTTCCATAAATTTATGCGCTCAGGAAAACAGGCTTCCGCTTTAATTTATGACAATCGTGAATAACATTTATGACAATTTCTTGTTTCTGAGGTCTTGAAGTTTAACACTGTCTATCATATGTCACGTGCTGCAATAAACGATACATCGAATTCTATGTCTGTTCTAATCCATAGGATTCTTACAGGAGATTTCGTATATTGAAATAAAACTGTTAAAATGATTGTATAATATCTTAATTATCGACAGAATATATTTAATTAGATAGGATGGAATAATTAAATGAATTACGTTTCATTAGCATTTTGGTATAATTTAAAATGTTGCTACAGTTAGCTGAGGACTGTAGAGCATTGCCGTGTATACGTAAGTACGTTTGCGAAGGAAAATAGTTCAATGTTATCATCTCGCATTTAGATATGTACTACTTTGTAAATGTGATTATAATGAATATATATGTAGAACATTTCATCGGCTTCTTAATCGATCTCAAAACTATACGATGACATGTTAATAGGATGTTAAGAAATGAAAAGTAGTTGTGCCATTTTCTTTCTACATTTCAGACAATAAAGATTTATATACTGTCTTTAAAATATGGTTTTATACAGATGAAAATATTCATCGAATCTTCGTTTCGTAATTTCTACCGGACAGTGTATTTTTGACGGATTAAATGCATTTTCTGATTATATTATGAAATTCACTTAAATATGTATTAATAAATTATTCAAACTTATATATATAATATTACTTAAGTTCATTTATTGTATGATTTACGTAAGGAAATTAATGAGTTGTTTTGGTGCGAAATTTAAATTCTTTTTGTATTTACATCAGTGCTCCATCTGTATTGTTGACAGCGCGCTATTTGAATTGTTGGATTTATAAATTAAATACTATTATTGTATAGAAAACGTAACTATATATACATTTTTTGCTGTAAATGTTGTTATCGAACATTACAATTTTTAATTTTCTGATAATTTGTTATATATTTTTAATGTCGATACAGTTTTAACTTCTGTGAGTATCTAACCTATAACCTGTAATGTATCTTTTATTGAAATCGTAGTAGATTGCGGTTAATAAACCCAATTTACGTATTCATCATGGAAGTGTAAGTAAAACTTCTGTTTCTGCGTTATAATTAATCTCGAAAACCATTTACTTGTTCAAGACTTGAGTATCTAGATTTTATAACAGCTTATTTCAGGCTGAAAGAGTGTGCAGCTTACTTGAGCAACTATGAAGTTCTGGACATTTTGCAAAATATAAAAGCAAATAAAAAACAGAAGATGAAACAAAATCAATTGGCAACTATAACTTATCAAACTATACGATATTTAGAAGAAACTCCATGTAAAAAACAATCGTCTGAGAAGATTAGAGACTTCTTGAAAGCAGTGGAATCCTTTAAATTAACAAAATGTGAAAAGTTGACTCTTTTAAATGTCTGTCCCAAAACACCTCTTGAAATACAATTGGTATTATATAGTTAATTACATAATAATCAATGTGATGTATGTATTAAAGTTATATATTTAAAATGTATTATTACAGATTGTGGAAGACAGCGAAGAACGCTTGTCTGATGAGGAAGTAGAATCTTTACTTCAAGCAGTAACAAATTATTTGGGTGAAGAAGAGCAAGTTGAAAAAGATGGGTAACATATTGTAACTATTTTACATTTATAAGTTTTTTAAAAATATTTTATATATGTTATGTACATTTTATTCATAATAAACATGGAAATAGTATAATATTAAATACAATTGTGCATGTAAGACTTTTAATTGATCCATTATCTTTTTTGATCACCAAGGTCATCTATAGAATCTTCATCGATCTAAAAATGCAATACACGTTGAATTATATCACTTTCAGTTACACATAGAGTACTAATTATATTTACCTGTGGCCACTTTTCTGGAATCACCTCGAACAAATCATCTTTCACATCCCCTTGTATAACTATTTCGTCGTCTCCTGTTACACTGGATCCACATGCAAACTTACTACCAAAAAACTTTGCAGCCACTTTCAGATCAATGTCTAAAAATAAGAAATAACACTATAGTACAATGATTAAACAGAGAAGCTACCATTAGAAATGTTTTCTGTATTACCAAAAGTACTTAGTCCAGTCACAACAGTGACAGATTTCTTTTTTCCTCTAGGTGCTCTAGACACGGTCACTAACTTAGGAACGTCTTCTTTCTTCTTGGTCTTCAACATACCTTTCCCACCGCGTTTCTGCCTTTTCTTTTCATCCTCACCTCCACCCGCTTCAGTGGTATTGTCTTCAACTATCAATTAATAAAACGATCAATACAAATAGTAATCAACATTTTTCATGATAAATATTTTGACAGATGATTACAAGAATTACCTAACTTCACTTTCTCGAACTCCGTCGGCAAATTCCTTTCCAACCATTGCTTGCATTTTTCATATTCTGGATAATACTCGCAGTACTGCAGTATGGAAGAAAATGGACCGAGTATGAAAAATATTTAAATACAATTACCGTGTCATGCAATATAAACTGCAACCGCTTATACTTCGAGACCAACGAAGTCTCACCTCGATGGGAAGAGAGCAGTTCCCGCAATATTGTACTTGTATCGGGTAAGTGACATTAGGATCTGGTCCCAAGCGTAAATCTGATTGTTCTTCTGCCGACATTTTCAATTACTTAACCTGCCCCTAAAACTGAAGAAACGTTTCATTTAAATGAACCGAAAGACTCGTTCTGCCCGCTTAAACTATTCTTATATCCCCTGAAACAATTGAATATCGTTACGTTAGATTTATCACAGTACAGAATGCGTAGCATTACCTATTCAAATGATAGCGCATAAGGTTAGGAATTCGTTATCTAGTAATTTTAATGCGGCCTGTACAATTCCTCCATATTGAACAATTGCTGCCAATCAAAGGCAGGTCCCGGTAAGATTCAACTTCAGAACCCTACGAGGTTTGGTGTGTTCCACCGGCAACAGCAAATAGGGGACACTCTGTATGAAATCAGGGGTAGGTCACGTGACCGGGCAGCCCAATAAACGAGTCCGGCTCGATAAGCCGTAGAGATGGGGACCAATCGTGCACATTAGACTTTGTACTTCGTTCGAAATGCACGTGCAGTAGAGAAAAGCGGTTCCAGTGTATTCCGGAGTTAGTGTGCTGCCTCGTGAAAAGAGACGAGCATCGTTTCAGGCCGACTTCTTGAGAGGTGTGTGTGCGTGTTACTGTGGGATCGGAACGTGCCGGGTTGAGTCGGGAGGCGTGTGAAAATTCGAAAAGAATTGTTAGAGGGAGATGACACTGGGCGCACAAATCGAGGTCTCAGCAGAAAACGGGAACATGAAAATCTCATTGCTGAACGGCGACGGGGATCAAACGGCTACTGGTTAGTACACGGTAATTTTCAATTCTAACGCCCATTTCGAATCTATCCCCGTTCCTTTTCGAGGTTAAACGGCGCCGTTGATAACGGTTATGTAATGGTCCCCGGGTGTCGTCAGGTTACCGTGTTCCGTTCACTTTAATCTCCGCTTGAACAATGCCGCCTTGGCCAAAAAGCCGGGCCTTCCTCGGTGTTATGTAATATGCAAATTGCGCGAATCTCCCTGTGTTCCGCGGGGTCATCATATGCGAGCCACGAGTTTCTTAGCTGGCCGAGCAGCGGCGAGCTAGCAGAAGACGCGAGTACACCGCTAGCAGACGATTTTTCCACGGGGGCCCCCCGTGAAAAAAGAAGTACTGTTAACGGCCGCCAATTGATTTCGCAACAAAAGTTGCCGCATGTTTTGCAAGTAGTTACACAAGAACGCGCGAGACCGTCGTTTGACGTACCTCATCTCGCGAAGACGCATCGAATCAATGCGTTAACCGTTCACGGCTACCTCTAACCGCTGTTTCACGGGTGTTCCGATCGTTCCTCGCTCCGGGTACCGACGAGTTTCCGTTGCGAACCAATTCGTACCTGCGAAGCACGTGATTAGTTCGTATGTGAACAATGATCTTGTGTACCTACTTGAACCGTTTCACTTACCTCGAGCAATTTTTCTCTTCGATGTTTCGATGACTTTTTTTTTCTTTTTCTTTTTATATATATATATGTATATATGTGTATATATATAAAATTCAATTATGAACATTCGGTACGTTTCGGCTATAACGTGCGTTCCTTTTTTTCCGTTGGTTTGTTTACAAGACTTGCCATTCGATGGATCGAAATAATTATTATCGACAATTGCTGTGATAAAGTGTTAGGCGTTTCGTTGTATTTTGGCAGTGTAATGCGGAAAGATTTAAAGATGGCAGATCGCGGTAACGATTTTAACTGGATTCGATGGAATTACGGGAATCACTGGAAATCAGGGATTCCACGCAATTGTGCTTGTTCTGTTTTTTTCCGTGTCGAACGATATTTCCGTTTCTCCCCGGGAGCTACTGGCATTGCTCGTTTTTCGGTGTCCGAGGCCTTCGGTGTGGAAGGCGAACGTGTTAATTTGAAAAGAAATCACCGATCCCTAAGGGACCTTAGTGTTATTAATCAACGTCAATTGACGCTAGTCCATTTTCCTTAGGCTGTTCTTCTTCGAACGCTCCCTTTCCCTAAAAAAAGAGTCCAGGCAAGCACGTGTCTGTTAACGACACCACGTGCATAGGCGTGGAAACGAAAAATTAATAACGGAAGTATTCCCATGAAATTTTCATATACAACAAAATCGTCATTCATGAATATAACACTTTTTTATTTTCTTATCAATCGACACGAATCGAATAGTAAAAACCGAAATGTAATTGTTTCTCTAATTTATCATTTTTATTTTCTCTTTTTTATTAACTGGTAATTTTCGAAATGGGTTCTAGTAAAAGTTACATTGGAATATAGCGCGAGAAATATTTGTATTCTACAGGAGGTTACACGTTTCAAAAGAACAATGGTGAATTGCTAAGATTATCGATACCAGAGGTTATCGGTTTCCTTTCTGACGTTATGTTATGCTTCCTAGCGTCTCACTTCGATTTCGATATAACGAGATATTTCATTGCGGTACATGGCGTGATTTTTAACTACGATTGCGTTTCCTTGTATCTACGTGTACAGATTGATTTATTATAATCGGCCTAGTTTAATCACGGCGGAAATATTACGTGCGGGAATACATGAGAATAAATTGTCGAGATAAACGTAAACTTTCGAAAACGTTTATGAACATTTTTAATATACATTTATCTTTGATTTGCAACGGTAATTTCTTTACATTGGTGGGCGAATCTAGGTGAAGGACAACTTGTACTCGTCTTACATATTTATTATGGAAAACTATTATTATCTATCGCAGTGCAGCAGGGTAGATTTAAAATTTTAACGAATCCATTTATCAACTTACCCGCACGTGGTCGAATCAGAAATAACATTGAATATTGATAAGGTTTCTTGTGCGAGGCCCGGCATTGCTAATGAAAGCAAACAATCATTCGTTTTTACCTTGCTAATGAACCACGAAATGAATCGCCGGCAACAAATTCGAGATTTCGTCTTGGATTCGAACGTTTTCCAATACTTTTAATTCGTGCGACACCTGCAAGATTGCGCTACTCTTATTACACAATCCTGTTTAACCGGTAAACCAGCGAATACTCTTTTCTCCATTAATTTGGACATGGCAGTATTTCCATCATTAGTATTTTTCCTAATCAATAAAAAGAGATTACTATTATAATTGTTTTCTGTTATTATGTATAACATTACATACTTTGCTAGATTCTTTGTTATCACTTTGATAGGTTATGTTGCTCGGCCAAGGAAATTAAAGTACGAAAACGAAGGAATTCAAATTCGATTGCATCATTGTTGTGACTACAGGAATTTTATTGATGTTATATTTTTAGGGACTGTTCGTTAGATGGTACGTTTATTGTTTTCCAAATATGAGCGGGTAATAATTCGAAGTGTTCACGCTCCAAGGATAATTAAAAAAAATTAAATATCTATAGAAAAATCATATGTGACGATAATGAACCTAAACGTATTTCGTTTTTCTTTTCCGACGATGTTATCTCTGAATTCCTTTCAAAACTTTGTTCCTTATCTCTCGTTCCACGATAAGAAAAACATCCAAAATAGAGGACAGATTCAAAACGAAATAGTAAAACGTTACGCGATAGTATCACGATAAAGCAATTGGTTCACAAGATAAAGTTGTAGAGTCCGTAAAGCATGAATATACATGGCACCGACGGTCCCAAAGAATTTCTTTTTACGATAAGGTTTTTTTTCTTCTTCGTGTATCAGTGAATGTAAATCAACGTTTCGTTAAAATGTATATTTTCAAAGCCAAGGTTCCCACGTGGTATCTGCCAAGGTATTTAACAATTAATGGGTCTTTTCTTGGGACGAAGATTTTAATAAACATTTATTTTTCTAATACAAATTTTTATTTAATGCCTGTATCACCGCCACGTTATTATAAATAAAGTACTTTTAACCAATCCTTATTGTCTTAGTCCATACACTTATCGTCGAATCCATACTCGTCAACTTGTCTATCGATATCATGATTTCAATTTTGAATCGAAGACTTTCACAAATTCGCAAAAAACAAATATGCACGCGTGAAATATTCAATTTTCATAAGTGAAAAAATCAATGTTATTTTCACTAATTGGAAATAATTATTTGTACCGAATGGTGGTAACGAATTCAATGTGAAACGTGAATGATATATTTGTGTTTACGAGAATTGATGAAGATCAAGGTCCCGCGTGCGTGAAAATTTCGGAACTATTCGACAATGCTGGTGGATCACGGAGGAACAATGATAACAGTCCGCCTTCTTGATCGTAATTAATAATGGTACCCAGAGGACCGTACGTAGGCCCGAAATGGATGTATATCGCAAACATGGTATCGACAAAAATAGTACGGCATTTGAGTACGGACTATTTACATTGCCGTTTATTTATAAGTGCATTGGTGAATGCAAGTGCTAGCCCCACGGATACCCACTACCGTATCTATTTGAAAATGCACCCTCGTTTCCAGGAGCACGTCTCGCGACATCGCTTATTTATATCTCTGTCACGATGAACGTGTTCGAGGAAAGCTGTTGAACCACATCCATCAAAGAAGAATGACGTTTGTTTATTTTCGTGGTATTCCTATAAATCAGACGAAATGCTAATACTGAAACACAAAAGAAAATGTTTACCGGACATTCTGTGAATTGTTTAATTCGTTTAATACCATTGTGAAAATTATTTCATTGGAAAGTATATATTCAATGTAGAAAGAGATATTAGTACAGTTATTTCCTTCTGTTTAGGGTATAATACATGTTAATTTATTGGTCTGACGTGTTATGGAAAGTATGTTATCTGAGAACTAATAACTTGTTTCTTTGTAAATTGTAGATCTGAAGGAAAACATAGAGGAAACAGGAAGCGCTAGTATGTTCACAAAAGCTGTGGTCGAAAAAGGCGAAGTTGAGGCCACAAAAGAGGAAGGAAATGAAAAGGAAAGGGAAAAGGAGAAAGAAAAGGAAAAAGAAAAAGAAAAAGAAAAAGAAAAAGAGAAGGAGAAAGAGAAAGAGCAGGAAAATGAAAATGACAAAAAAAGCAACAAGAGTGAGAAAACAACAGACGGTGACAAAGATAAGGATGCAGGAAATGAACAGGAAGTTGTTTTCATTCAGGACATGGGATTTACCGTCAAAATTGTTAGTCCAGGAGCAGAGCCCTTTGATATTCAAGTTTCTAGTATGGAATTGGTTCAGGTAGCTAACAGCTTCTTTGATTATTTTGTTGAATTCCACACGATCATTGAAATAAAATTGTATTCCAATTTTCAGGAAATTCATCAACTGCTCATGGACAGGGAAGATACTTGTCACCGCACCTGCTTCTCCCTTCAACTTGACGGCAACACGTTGGATAATTTTGCCGAGTTGAAGAACATCGAAGGCTTGAAAGAGGGTTCGATAATTAAAGTGGTCGAGGAACCATACACGATGCGAGAAGCCCGCATTCATGTCCGACATGTTCGAGACTTACTGAAGTCGGTGGATCCTGCAGATGCCTACAACGGCGTCGAATGCAGCAGTTTATCCTTTCTGAACGTTGTGACTAATGGTGACATCCTCGAGAAAAAGAAAAGCAGGGCAGACTCGGTTGATTGTACTCCGCCAGATTACATTATACCTGGCTGTAAAGACAGGCCTTTATTACCCCTTCAGCCACAGGCCAAGGAACAAAAATGTCCTCCATGTTTAAAGGTATCTAAGAAGATGCTAAGCACTTCCTCGAACAATATCTGTAATTCGGTTTAATTACTTCAATTACGTATCTTAGGTTTTAACGACATCCGGATGGAATCCTCCACCAGGTCACAGAAAGCTTCACGGTGACTTATTATACTTACACGTGGTGACACTAGAAGATAAGCAGTATTACTTGACTGCCTGTGCAAGGGGATTCTTTGTTAATCAGTCAACAAAAGAAATGTTTAATCCTAAACCAGCGACCCCAAGCCATCTGTGTCACAGCTTAATTGAGCTACTGAACCAACTCAGCCCAGCATTTAAACGAGGTTTCGCCTCTATGCAAAGGAAAAGAACGCAAAGGCATCCCTTTGAAAGAGTCGCCACGCCGTATCAATTGTACGCGTGGAGTGCGCCTCAGATTGAACATACGATCGATGCGATACGCGCTGAAGACAGTAAGTTTCCTATTAAACCCGTAAATGAGATCAATAGGTACCCAGCTAATGAAGGTTGGACGAAGAAACACTGATCTTCTAGATTCACCTGAAGTATCTTTCATTTCTCAAAGTCCCATTTTTCTGTGTTCAGCCTTCTCTTCCAAGTTGGGGTACGAGGAACACATCCCCGGACAAACCAGGGACTGGAACGAGGAGCTGCAGACAACAAGAGAGTTACCTCGCAAAAACTTACCCGAAAGACTGCTTAGGGAACGTGCTATTTTTAAGGTGTGTTAATCTTTACAGAACTGGTCGCGTTTGAAACCAAGTCGTACCAAGACAATCGCGATTAATGAATAATTTAGGTTCACAGTGACTTCGTCGCCGCTGCAACTCGCGGAGCAGTAGCCGTGATAGATGGCAACGTGATGGCAATAAATCCTGGCGAGGAGGCGAAAATGCAGATGTTCATATGGAACAACATTTTCTTCTCCCTTGGATTCGACGTCAGGGATCATTACAAAGAACTGGGCGGCGACGCCGCCGCGTTCGTCGCGCCGCGCAATGACTTGCAAGGTGTCAGAGTGTACGCAGCGGTTGACTTGCCCGGCCTTTACACGCTCGGTACCGTTGTGATCGACTACAGGTTTGTATAACGCCGCGCGAAGCTAGACGGACGTTGAGTCCTTATCGTCGTCATCGTCATTCGTATCTCATTGCACAGAGGATATCGTGTCACCGCTCAGTCTATCATCCCAGGAATACTGGAACGCGAGCAAGAGCAGTCGGTAGTTTATGGTTCTATAGATTTTGGGAAAACGGTGCTCACGCATCCTAAGTACCTCGAGTTGGTGAGTCGCTTGTTAACGGTAGATATTCGATGGATATTGAACAGTTCTCTTATTTTACGGATTTCATTTTATAGTTAAATAAAGCTGGTCACCAATTAAAAATTCTTCCCCATAAAGTTATCAACGACGCCGGAGAAGAAGTCGAGCTTTGTAGTAGCGTAGAATGCAAAGGTATCGTCGGGAATGACTCCCGACATTACGTACTCGACTTGTTAAGAACATTCCCTCCGGATGTGAATTTCCTGAAATGTAAGTGGACGCGATCAGTGATGTATTAACCCCTTGGCCTATGATTTATTTCTCAACTCTGATCGGCACGGATACTTTATCATTAATAATTTATGTGAAAAAGAGAAAAATTCTAAGCATATGTTGTGCCTATATTTCCTTTTAAGCATAATAGTTGATTACAGAGGAATAATATTTACTTTGAATTCGAATTAACTAAGTAATACATATATTTGTTGAATCATGTTGAAAATCTTCACCACGAGTCTCACTCGTTGTAGGACAAGGGGTTAAGAACGAGTTTTATATGTGTTTTTTGCATTTCTGTTATTTCTTTCAGTGGAAGATGTAGAGCTGAGCAAAGAAGCCAGAGCACTGGGTTTTCCAATCGAACACAAGCACAGATTGGCCTGTCTGCGTCAGGAATTGATTGACTCTTTCGTTGAGGCCAGATACGTTCAATTTATTAAACACGCCGCCGTTCATCTTCAACAACTCACGTCTGCCAGGAGAGTGCAAAAAGAAAAGGAACCCAACTCGAAGGTAACGAATAATTATTCATCATTTTTAATCGGTCTGCCGGATGATTTATCATGAAGATGATGTCTCATGAAGTTTCATCTTTGATTGAACGATACGTTAAAGTTTGGCATTCATTTTCAGGATGACAAGAAGGAAGAATCGAACGCCATTACAGTGGACAGTAATAAAGAGGACACGGCTCAGTCGCTCATAGAAGCAGACGAAGCAAAAAAAATTGTAGAAAGTATTACCGAAAGTATCACCGGAGGAGAGAAGCAAGAATGTAAGTAATTTTGTGTTCTTTTGTTCAGTTTCTATTCAATGGAAATTAATTTTTTGAAATCTCTTTCACAGTGGAAGAAAGCACGAAGGAGATAGTACGCAGAGCAGCAGCAGCAGTTGGTAGTTTACGAGAGGCCGAGTTCGATGTCAGGTTTAATCCGGACGTGTTTTCTCCGGGTGTGAAGCATCCGGATCCAACTGGTCTCGCTTTGAAGAAACAGAAACAGTTGGTGCAGGACGCCGCTGACTTTTTATTGACCGTGCAAATCCCTACGTTTGTAAGTTACATCTGCAGTGATCTATATACGATTACATAGATTCCTGTGATCATCTTTAATTAAAAATCCGTTCTCACCACAGATTCGGGAATGGTTGGATCACACGGCTGCAGCAATGGACGGCAGTACATTGGTGGAGGCCTTACACGGCAGAGGCATTAACGTACGTTATCTTGGGAAACTGGCTGCCATGTTAGCTGCAGTTCCACAGTTGCAGTACCTTAACCGTATCGCCGTTTCGGAGCTTCTTTTACGTTCTGCCAAACACATTTTTACATTTTACATGCAGGTACGCCGATTGAAGATAACCGAAAACTTCATGGATATCTTCGCAATCGAAACAAACCGTTATTTGTTCTTTTTTAGGGTACAGAATTAATGAGTCTTTCCGCCTCCATTAGCCATTTCTTAAATTGCTTATTGTCCTCTGCACAAATCATCCACCCGCAACAAAATCTCGAAGAGGTACGACGACACTAACTGGAAAATACCGTGTCTGATATGTTCGTTAAATCTAGCCGATTCCGCGATAAGAAGTCTCAATAAGGAAAATAATTTTCTAGGTGAAAATTCATGTAATTGCCGGTTTCAGCTTCAGAGTAAAACTGCAAAGCGACGCAATAAAAGGAAAGGTAGAAATAACGGTCCCCAACAGTCTGAAGTGGAATGGGCTTCCTTGACACCTAAATCTCTCTGGCAGCAAATTAAAGCCGACCTAAAGAGCTACTACGACTGGGAAACACCTTGTCCGGATTCGCTAGACACCACGATAGATCATTTTCATCTTCAGAAAATATCTCTGCTCCGTGGCTTTTGTATAAAGACTGGTATACAAATATTGTTGCGCGAATACAACTTCGAGAATAAAAACAGAGCCACGTTTTTTGAGGAAGACATACTTAATATATTCCCTGTCGTGAAGCATATCAACCCTAGGGTATGTAATATATTTTTAATACAAAAAAAAAAGAAAATCACTTGCACGCTTACATTTGCTGTCTTTTAGGCCAGCGATGCGTACAATTTCTATACAACGGGTCAGAGTAAGATACAACAGGGTTACTTGAAAGACGGCTACGAATTGATCAGCGAAGCACTGAATCTTTTGAATAACGTTTATGGTGCTATGCATCCGGAAATCGCACAGTGTCTCAGAATGCTCGCTCGATTGAACTACATAATGGGTGATCACGGAGAAGCTCTTGCTACTCAGCAGAAAGCGGTGCTGATGTCGGAAAGAGTTAACGGAATTGATCATCCGTATACCATTACCGAATACGTAAGTGTTATGCCCAGGGATTTGAGTCGTACTCCGAGTCAGATTCGATGATCAGTGGTACAGAAAGTAATCTAATCAGCATGTCGTAATGTGGATTACAATTTTGACTCGGGTTAGACGATGGTTACAAGTCCCGGCTGCTTTTAATAAACGACATCGACCCTATAACCATTACAGTATTCAAAACACCTGGTATATTTTCTTTTAAAGATTCATCTCGCACTGTACTCTTTCGCGAATGGTCAAGTTTCTGTCTCGTTGAGGTTATTGTACAGAGCACGGTACCTAGCTTTATTAGTCTGCGGTGAAGATCACCCAGAAGTGGCGTTACTCGATGTAAGTAGACCGTCAAGTTGAAAGTATGAAACTGTACTAGAATTATCTTGATTACATTGCCACTAATCGTTTATTTAGAGCAATATCTCATTGATACTTCATGCTGTTGGAGAATACGAGCTGTCCCTTCGCTTCTTGGAACATGCGTTGGCCCTGAACCTCCGGTATCATGGTCCGCGGTCCTTGAAGGTTGCCGTCTCTTATCACCTAGTCGCGAGAACTCAGTCTTGCATGGGCGACTTCCGTGCTGCTTTGAACAACGAAAAGGAGACTTATGCTATATATAAACAGCAATTGGGCGAGGATCACGAGAAAACCAAAGAAAGCAGTGACTGCTTGAGACACTTGACGCAGCAGGCGGTCGTCTTGCAGAAGAAGATGAACGAGATATACACAGGGAAATCGGGTGTCAGTCTGCCGCCGATACAAGTGCAGCCACCCAGTATGGGCTCGGTGCTCGACATGCTGAACGTGATCAACGGCATTCTGTTCGTTCAGATCAGCCAGCAGGATATCGAGAACTTCAAGGCGGAGATAGAGAAGAGACAGAAGGAGCAAACCCCGGATGGAGAAGTGAAAGTCATTCAAAACGAGAACAAGAAGAATGAGAAGGAGAACAAGAAAGAGGAGAAGGATAACAATAAGAAGGAAGAGAAGGAGAACAAGAAGAACGAGAAGGAGAGCAAGAAGGAAGACAAGGAGAATAAAAAGGAGGAGAAGGAAAATAAGAAACTGGAGAAGAAGATTGAAGTTCAGCAGATCGAGTCGAAGAAGCTGGAGGAGAATAACACTACATTAGAACCAGTAGTCGCAGAGAGCTGAACTCGTTTTAACGCGCTAATGATGATACTTAGTAGTTTTTTCTCAGAGTCCTAGTCTTTCCCTGCCCGCGTCCGGTCTTCTTAAGAGTAACGCGAGTACGGTATGCAAAATTGATTGGGATGTAATAGCAGTGTTTGCTTGATAAAGCGCCGAGTATTGTTCAGTGTACCGTACACACTTGCAACGCGTTATTTAAAAGCGCGTTCACGTTTACGGTGCAACGGTGTTGATGGTATTACACGAAGTCCTGCGGGAACAATTTTTACCTGGACACACACACATGCAATTCCCAATTTCACGCCAAGCCGCAGAATTTCTTTGACTGATGATTTACGACTGCATAGAAAGAAAACTGGTTTTTCACTTGTGTAAATAATTCGAAACGAAACAAAACGGGATTCGTCGCTGTAGTGTACAATGCTTATCGCCGCAACGACTCACGGTTCGGTTGGATCACAAATTTCAAATGAATTATCATGAGTCAATGGTACCACTGTTTTTTGTTTTCTCCTAAGGGCTCAATTAATCGTACTATGTGACGGCAAAGCCTTCATCGGCATTATTCACACGTCACACCTCTATTAAACGACAAAATAAATGATTAGCGTCAGTTTCAGCGTACTACACAAGTGTTGCTAAATTCAAGCGAAACGCGAGGTACCGAGAAAAATCAAACGGTACAACGATTTCTGTAAAACAAGTAATGGACGTTTATTATTGTAGAATATAAGTCAATCGTTTTTTTTTCTTTTTTTTTGTACGTTTTCGATAGTCTATTTTATTAGTACATATTTGAGATCACTGTTTCGTGCCATTTAGACGTCACTGTCATTTTTCCATTTTATCGATTGCCATCGATGTGAGCTCTATGAGCTCGGTGCACGAATTAAAACGCATGAGAACATGTAACGTTGTTTTAACCTGTACTAACACATGGTCGAACTTGTTGAGTTCAGCACAAATACATGAATACATATCTTTGATAAATTTTCATCAGTTGGAGCTTTCTTACAACGGTTACGAAACGATTCTAAACGCATGAGAGACCAGTAAGAAATACAAGTGTCTGTATTGTATTCAACAAGGATAGCTCTATTGTTTTGTTTTTATCTCACCACATGTATCGCATCAAAAGAGGTTTCTTTCACTCGATCATCATTGAGGATCTGAAAGAAATTATTGAATTTTAGTGGTTTCTTTCTTCATGGTTAGTATTAAAAGAAAAATATATACGTTGTGAAGAAACGATTGGTGGCAGCAGAAATATGGTACAATGACAGATGAATACATTGTTACATTCATGATCGTTGATAAGAGTTATCGAAAACAGCGCATTAGTCATGTTATTATAAAGGTAGCGTCAATTTACTATTACCTACTAGAGGTACCACAGTTAGTGCTAGAGTTGTAAGAATGAAAATCAACTGTTTTCTCAAATGCTGATTTATCATTTTCTTTTTTCTTTTTTTTTCGTTTCTCAATCATGTTAATAGCGTCCGTTAAGAAAATGGATGCGACGAATAATGACCTACGTTGAAATTTTTGTTAGACTCAAAATTACATTCAATTAGGAAGAAAAAAACCAATGAACTGTTGGACATGTTTCAAAGGAACACTGCTTTGCGTTTTACTTATCAGTTACGTTTTTACTGATAGTGAAAGACGAAAGGAGTGGACATTGCTGAGTACTTTCTGTTTAACAACCATTCGTATACTTTACAAGGTGGAACATTATATAACAAATGTTAGTCAAAATGTATGATAAAAATGTTAGTTGATAAGGACTATTGATTATAAATAAAGTTAAATACTTGATTTACATATATTACCTGTTAGGTAACTTCGTCAAATCTAGGCATAAAATAAATCATTTTGTACGTAACTCAAATGAACGATTTAACAAGATTCCACGTTCTGTTCATGTGAACTTCCGCTTTGATTCATATCGTTGTCACACGTGACGCTTTCGTTTTTCTTTAGTCTTTTTCGTTTCTTTCTTTGCAACGCTATGTGTTGCTTCTGAAAATGATCTCGAACATCCAATTTGTTTATTAAATATTGTTTGAACGTTTCCAAAGCATTCCTGCCACCGCTTCCTTTTTCGAATATCATAGATATTCTTATACTGTCTCTCTCAGAGTCCTCTTCATGTTCTACCAGTTCAACAAAGAAATTGCATACCAGGAATGGATCTGTAGTATGAGAACAATTTTGATCATGTATTTGGTCACTGGCAATTTTTGCGTCACCTTGATTCAATTCCTCTACAGTATTTTTTTCAGAACAATCGGCATTACTATTTATATTATGATCTTCACATTGGTTCATCTGTCTTTGAGCCAATCGACGTTTTCTACGTGCATGTGACCAAGAATCATTTTCTGCGACTAACTGACACGACCAACCATTGAAATCATCAATGGGTAAATTCAATTCCTTGACATGTATCTATACACAGAATAGAAGTTTGGTTAATATTTTGTAGATGCTATATATTGAAATACAAGTAAATTACATATTACATGTAATTCTTCCATTGACTCCTCTAGGAAATTGATCAAGTTATCAAAAGAAGAAAATTTATCTTGCATTGGAAATTGTATCTCAGTCGGGCGCTTTTCTTTTAATAACTTTGCAATGTAATCTCCACTTTTCCTGATAACTGATGCAGTTGTCAAGTCAATCACATCTTTTGGTAAAAATGTCCAAGCTAAGCCCCATCTATCAAATAGATATATTACTGATAAGAATTTTATAAATAGCAGAATTTCATTCGATAAAATGATGAATTTACCGTTTGGTGTGACCCTGACAAAATTCTGTCCATGTAGTATTCTCTATTTTTCGTCTTTTTAGCAACTTCAACAGAAACAACAAGTTACTTCTTCGTCCAAACATTGTGGTATAAATTTTTATTTTGTCTTTCATTTCTGAACTTTCATCAATCATCTGTGTTACAAATGCTCTTTCACCACCTTGAATTGTAAGCTCAGCCTTGTTTCCAGTTGGAGCGTTTCTGGGTGGCAGACATTTTATTATTCTCTCTGATCTTTCTGTTTCAAAAAAAGGAGGATTACACATTGTGAAATGGTAGGTTTCTCCTTCTTTCACAATATCCTTGAAGGTTGTTTGTCCATCTACTTTCAATACTGAAAATAGTATTATACGAATATTAAAATGTTTTTTACCAGGATATAATGTGTAATCAAAATTTACCTTTTATTAAATGCTGCAGGTTGTTATTTTCAACTTGTTGAATGGCTGTTTGAATACTTGTTTCATCAACTTCTGTACCAATCATCCGATTTCCATACATTTTTGCAAATAATAAAGGGTATATACAAACCGCACCAGTGCCTGTAAAAGATCAATCTTTGTGCTTGAAAAATTATGAGAGTAAACATTATGATTTATTTCATTGTTGATACCAATATCTATGCCAATGGTTTCTTTCATTTCACAGAAAGAAGAATGTTTTATTAAATCTTCGATCCACAAAACATAATTCAACCGTAATGGCAAAGTTGGCACCAATTTATTTGGAGGTATTTTTACTTCTAAATTAAAGTCATGTTTTAACAGTACTTCTGTCAGTACACGCAGACTTTCTCCATTTTTGAAGTCTATTTTCACTTTGCCAGTTAGATCCTAAAAGTGTAACCATTAAAACATGTTCAACATTCAATGAAAGTAACATTTAAATATATGTTTTGCTTACTATATTCGCAATATTACAGAATGATGGATATGACAGTGCGAGATGTTTAAAGTCCGGAATTTTTTTATATGGATTTCTAGGATGCATAAATTTTCTTAAAGACATTTTAAACTTCGTTGCTTCGTACAAAGCTTACAAATGTTCTACGATACGGAAAATGTAAGATTTACATGTCTCTCCTAGTAAATTCTTCCTTTTACAAACGTAAAAGCTCATAAATGGTACGTCATTTTCTGGGACACGTGCATTTACTTACGCTGAATTCTCATTTAACAACAATGCAAATTTGCTTCTGTTCATAATCATTAAATGAAAATGCACAGTATTCGTAGACATCAAAGATCATTATTTTCATTGTATATTGCCTTGGATTAATCAATTTCGATGATAAGTGACAGTTATTTTCATTTAGTTCAGAAATGAATTCGAGATATTCCAAATACAGTCAAAGTTTGCTCCCATAATTTTTTATTTTTTGATTCCATTGCTATTTCCGCCCTTTTGCGACGATAACGGCTATTGGGTAAATCGTTAAAAATAAATAATGGCGATTAATGTTGGCCAATGAGGATACAGAACATATAGAGTTACACTTTTATTCTAAATGAAATAAACAAGTAGGGTGTTAATTATGAAACAATTTAACCGCTATTGTTAATTATAATAATTCTATTTCTAATCCGAACGAAGAGCAAATATAAACTACAAAGAATTTACGTTCATTGCTACGTTGGAAATGTACTCTAATCACATCGAAGACAATTTTTTACGTCTACGTTTCTAAAATTATGAAAAATCTGAGTAGTGTCTCGTTAGAAATAATTAAAACAATTGTCTCGACGATTGAACACTTTGTAAAGCAAAAAAAATACTATTCGCGTGTTCCATGTCGGTTACCGAAATGTTGGCAACACTGAGTGCGAGCAAATCTATCCGTGATGACAATTTTAAGTGGTGACAGCCGCGTATGTGCTTGTTCGTTGCATTTGTAGCGGTGTTTTGTATGATTTTGCTGATGGGAAATTTTATTTTCTAACATAGTGCGTGACTCGCTCGCCGAAAAGCATATGGAATAATCAGTCGCATCGTCGGTGAGTCTTTTCTAGCGATTTCCGTACATATTAGAAACAGATGGTTGTTGGTAATTTGGTAGTCTGACAATTCGTTAATATGGGCAAGTGCCACTCTGACAGTTTTCCTTTTTCGTCGTCGTATTGTTCGGCACCTGTTATCCTAGATTCGTGTCTGTTTCCTCGACTTAATGTCCATTGTCACCGATGCATATTTTATGCAGGTGAAAACCGTCGCGATATCGACAAATTACACGCGAGAGAGGGATTAATGATGTCACGTTGAAAATATTTATTTCTTCTTGTTATGACTTACCACTCGAACACCGGATACTTGGATTTCTAATAATATTCATCGACATAGAACCAACAACTGTCATACCATCATAAGTAGTTCCATAAATATTTATAAGAGATAAGTGGTACTTGAACCTTATCTTGACCAAAACATTACAATTTCTCATATTTACATTGTAGAGTGATTAAAAATTGGAACACGTGTTACTTTGCTTCTGCAAATGTTTTATACTGATTTCCTTGCTAGAATATAGTAACCTAAAAGTGCTATATATTGCATTCTCATGTTTTATTGTTTCTGGTAACGTGGGATGCAGGAAAGTATAGATAAAGTATTATCAGTGAAGTTATTATTGACTAGTTGTACACGATCTCTGAATTACATGTACATATATATTGTAATATAAAGTATCCACATCCGCTTAAACTATAACAAACTTCATGAAATTATTATGATTATCTATCACTCGGATATAGATATTAGACGTCCCATTGCTTTCTCATAGTTAAATCATTTTTATTATCGTCTACTTTACACATATAATATCATTTCATGTAAATTACAAATCCAAGCTTCATTACCTACAATGTAAACCATAACAGAAACAAAATGTAAATTTAAGTAACACCATCAATGCAATTGAAATAGGTTTTTCTTCTAAACTCTCTCAATGCACTTCTAACTGGGATTATAACAATTTTCCAATATCATTACGCAACTTTCATTCCTATATAATGAAAGTTTTGACGAACGATACAATCACTTTTTCATGTAACGAAAAAAGTGTTCGGTCGGCGGGGAGGTACCGTGTGCAGAAGTGCCTGAGGCCTGTGAATACCGTAATGCGGCCCTGTGTATCGGTAGTATCCTGGAAGTAGCGGCGGCATTAAAGTGAATAGGAGAAAGAAAGAAACAAAAAAAAAGAAAAAAAAATACTACAGCCACGGAAATCACGGGAATGTTTTAAAATGATCGCGTTCCGCGACGCGGCGCACAACCCGCTCTTTCATTTCGATCGCTTTGTCCGCACACGCATTTGGACGATTGCTTTCCACGTATACATGCGATACGTGGTGCACGCGCGTTGTGTAATCGTAACGGTAAAGCGATCCATCATTCATCGCCGCCGAACAATTAAAACTACCATATTACAATGAACGTGGAAAAATGTGTCCGACATGCCCGCCTCGTAATTAAATCGACCAGAACGCAACGAATTCCCTATTTCGGAATACACGATCGGTGAAAGGTTCGTTATTTCCCGCGTATTTTTTAAATCTCTATTTTCAACCGAAAACCCACCATGAATTTTTCGCTGTTCGATGCAACGTTATATATAGTTTTCAGAATTCTAGAGAGACACTTGTAGCAATAAATTTCCAATTACTTCGATCGACGAATCATCAGCGTTAATTAATCTATCTACCGAACCTTCCATCGAACATTTTTTATTTACAATGCGCGTCAATAATTCACCGTTTAATTCTAAGTAGCTATTTAAGATGTCGCGAATGACAAATCGTTCTTGACACATACCATCTATAATCTATTTTTAAAAAATTCTTTTAAATTATTCTTATCATGATAGTACATAAATATTATTATTTTCTTAAGAACCCGAGTTCTTGAAATAATTTCTTTATATCTGGATTCGTTTCTCAGGAAATAAGACACACTCCCCAGGATGTGTCCTTTTATTTATTTGTCACGGAAGAGAGGTCGTTGCGCATGTGGCGCATCCTGGCCTGCGCGGGCTCCATCGACCCCCAAACCATTTCGTACTTTCCAGTACGTGTTTGACGATCATACTGTGCTAGTTAATCGAGAAGGGAACGATAAAATCAGCGTCTATTGGCCGGTTAATCGGTGGCCCTTGTCGGACGATCGCGTTGCCAGACTCCCGAGATCGATCGTTATCTGTGACATCATGATTCCCGGTTTGCCGACCTTCCCAGCAACCCTTAATTCGATTCCGAGCTCGCTCGCCCGAGGCACACCTTTATCCTTCGGAAACGGATTACACATCTGAGATGTCAAGAGCAATACTTAACGTTAAAGAGGATTCTATATAATTGCACCTCGCACATCCGGGGCAACCCACATAACCTCTCCGCCCCTGTCACTTCAGTTGACTCTCGATCACTTGACACGATTCATAAGTGTTTTCTCCTAATAACAATTGCATCCTCCGTGTACCATTAAGATACATGTATACATATATATTTGAACATCTCGTGTACTGCTCTATACGATAAAACATCAAGTACGCTAAATTTCCTGTTAATTTTATTATTCCGTGGATCTCTCGGAAGAGAAATTCTAGAACTTGTTACATTTTACACGAGGTGATGTGTGGCGAGTCTGTGGTATCATACGACCCGAAATGTGTCACAGCGAATGTAGAACGTGAGAGCTTCGGCACCGGCGGTTCTAATAAAAAATTTCATTGCTTTTATACCAGGACGAATTAATTAAAAATTGCATATATATCATAATGAAATAACTGTAAATATACTGGTTTCCAGTAACGGTTTAAAATACATTCGAAATATTAAATGGCACGTCACGTAATAAATTAAAAAGGAATAGAATTTTTAAAAAATTTTAAATTTTCAATCGCAAACGTTATCGTTCGTACTAGGTGTACCGTTCGTTTGGAAGTATTATGTAATTACATTCGCAACGGTGTTTCCGATGGAAATCAAGGGTTGATCGAGGCTCGTTACCGTTCGCGTGCGGGTGCCCGACGCACTTCAAATTCCACGGGAATTCAGGCTACCGAGAAATGTAAATCGTCCTATCTCGTGGAGCCGGTGCGCGTGTTTCGCGCCTGCACTCGTCCGCCCGACTCTTTCATTCGTTAATTCATTCGCACGCGCTAATTGCGTGGCTTTCTTCCCGACCTTTCGTCATTTGTTACGCGTCCGCGTTGAAGCGGTTCGGATCCGGGCTCGAAATCGAGATTCCCCTTCGAGCGGATTTTCTCATTATCCGCGGAGGGCATCCGAGCGAGGCTTTTACAACAGTTTTCGTTAACGACGCGCCTCGCCTTATAAAAACATCGTTCTCTCATTCAAACGACGAAACAATGACCTTAATTAAAAATTAATAATCCGTTAACCTCTTTCACCGTTCGCTCGTTACTCCGCTCCCGTGGAGACACCTCGGTAAACGGCGAGGAACTCGGTTTTAAATTTCGAAATTTCACGATTTGAATGTCTAACGTTTAGAAAATTCAGTTGAAAGTTTT